GGGGTGCCTGGTGGTGGGTTGGGTGGGGGCTGGGGGCGGCAGGTGTCCCTGTCATCTCACTTGGGGGCCTGCATGTCTGTTGGAGGATCCGGGATGAGTCGTGAGCCACAGAGGCGAGGGGGTGCAGTGGGGGCATGACGTGGTGGGCTCCATGTCCACGTCAATGAGGGAACTGTGGCCATGATGGCGGGATGTGAGGAGGGCCCACGTCTGGGTAGAGGTGGTCGGCGCTGCCTCCTAGAAGTGACAGTTAAGCTGGAACCTGAAGGAGAATGGCCCTGCTTTGCTGGAAGTTTGCAGGGTCCTGGCAGGCGTGACAGCCGATGCAGAGGACAGAGGCCTGGGTCTACAGGAGAAGCTGAGGGCATGGAGGGCAGCGGCTGGGCAGGGTGGGGACAGTAGGGCATGAGGCTGAGATTTGTTCTTGGTGTGGAAGCCGCTTGACGTCTGCGTTGTGTTTTTTCTTTTTTTCTTTTTTTTTCTGACGGAGTCTTACACTCGCCAGGCTGGAGTGCAGTGGTGCCATCTTGGTTCACTGCAGCCTCTGCCTCCCGAGTTCAAGCGATGCTCCTGCCTCAGCCGCCCGAGTGGCTGGGACCACAGGAACCTGCCACCACGCCCGGCTAATTTTTGTATTTTTCTGTGGAGACAAGGTTTCCCCATGTTGGTCAGGCTGGTCTCAATCTCTCGACCTCGTGATCCGCCCGCCTCGGCCTCCCAAAGTGCTGGGATTACAGGCGTGAGCCACCACACCCGGCCAAGGTCTGCGTTGTTAATAGCGCCCTGCAGGGACCGTGCAGGCTGGCTGGGTTGCATCTGTCTCTTATACACATCTAGATGTGTATAAGAGACAGGTGTGGGACGGTGCGGCTGCACGTGGGAACGGAACTTCCGCAGACGCCGTGTCGGCCCTCGCAGTGCCCCAGGCCTTGCTCACACCCTTGTCTCTTGTGCTCTGCTCTGGTGTTACGGATGTGGGCTGTGACCAACTCAGTTGATTTTATGACTTTCTAAAGCTGGGGTCTTCAACCTGGGGGCTCACAGATTTCCGAGTAACTGGTTTCTTCTGTAGTTGTGTGGAGGGTGTTTTGGGGAGGGATCCACAGGCTTTGCTGGACCCAGCAGGGTTGGCAGGAGCTGGCACAGGAGTGGCATGGCTGCAGCCCGGTGCCTGTGGGCGGCCCCACCCTCTGTTGCATTCTCTTCACAGACCCACTGAGTGTGGACGGCACGGCCGGTGGTCTCGGTGAGCCTGCAGTGGCCTCTGATGGCCTCCCGTCCTCGGAGCCAGGGCCCTGTTCCTTCCAGCAGCTGGACGGACCCCCCGTTGGACCCCCGTCCCGTCAGCCTCCAGCCCTGGCCGACCCAGCCTCGTACTCGCCAGCTGTCGTCGCTCCGGAGGCAGACGCCAGCCCAAGGCTGGCTGTGGACTTCGCCCTGCCCGAGGAGCTGCCTCTCATCTCCAGCCGTGTGGACCTGAGCGGGGACCCGGAGGGGACTGTGGCCCCTGCGCAGGTGGCTTTGTCGGTCACCGAGTTTGGACTCATTGGCATTGGGGACGTGAACCCCTTCCTGGCCGCCCACCCCACGTGCCCGGCCCCCGGGCTACACTCGGAGCCCCTGTCACAGTGAGTGCCACCCCCTGCCCGGAGCTTCCCCGACACTCCAGTGAGGTCCCCCCAGCCCTGAGGCTGCACTGAGGAGAGTGGGAGGCGTTTGCCCCAAGGACAGTGCGGCTGCACGAGCGGCTCTCGGGGCTGCTTTAGGGTTATTCTTGACTTGTATGTATTTTCTGACTGGAGAATACATTCGTGTGGTCCACATGCTCCACAGATGGGGGCAGGTGCCAGGCTCTCCCACCCCTGCTCCAGCCACCAGCTCCCCCAGAGCACCCGGGCCCTGCTGCTGTAGGTTGTCAGGGAGGCAAGGCTGGGAGTCTCGAGTCCAGCGCTCAGCACTGGGCCGTGCAGGCACGTGGGGCCACCCTGACACCCCGTGTCTCTCTCGGTCTCTTCCCTGCAGCTGTAACGTGATGACCTGCTGACTCCTGGCCGCGGGCGGCGTATGCGGCCCAGACTGGACTTGGCACTGCCGCTGGGCCCGCCTCTGTCAGTCTTCCTGACCCCTTCCCCCGCCCCGGGCCTTGGGGTGGCACCTCCTCT